TGTCTTTTTAGAGACTCTTTGTGGGAAGCCCTTTTAATGGATCTGCCAGTTCCTGTTTCACCAACCACTTGTGATATATTTTTACTGTCTTACTACACAGTGTAAAAGCAGATACATTCTCGAGACAACCTGGGTCTGTTAAGAATCCTGAGGGATCTATTATTTGTTGATATACTTTATTGTTACAGAATAAAAAATGAGTCATTTTACCCAGATAAATCCTGAGTGCTTTATGATTAATTACATTAAAATATATTCTTGCTATTTTCAGGCTTTACCAAACTGTTGTACACTTTTCTTTCTGATAACTATTTGCTGTATTCATTTTTATTTGGGAGCGCTGGGATGGCTTTTTGGATTAAATGTGTAATTCCTGAAAAAGAAAGACACTAAACACTGGAAATTTTGTATTTAGACTTGCAAGCTGCAAACAGCTTGCACTTCTGCTGTGTCCTGTACTGGTCCCTTAGGAGCTCTAAGCTTTATGGGATTTTTTTTGTGAGTTTCCTGGGTAATTCTTTAATATAAATAACACTACTGTACAAAGGGCCAGGTGGCTCTATGGAGCCATTTAGAAAATGAATGCAAAGCATGCTTTATTCCTGTATTTATCAAGTAAGTAACAATCATGAGCTCATGGCAGCCAGTCCACCTGGGTCTAATCCCAGATCCACGAGCTGTTTTATACTCTGGGTGGTAAGACCCTAAATCAGCTGTTTTGGTAGAAAAGCCTGCTGGAAAATGAGTGGATTGGGCTGATTTGGGGAGCCTTCTTTCAAGGGCTTTTCCCCCCCTTTCTTTGTTTGTAAACCTCCTTGAAATGAGGTGCCTCTTTTTGGTATTGATTCAGCACCCTGTCATGCAGACATTAAAGAAAGACTTCCATAAATGCTGATTATTGCTGGTGCTGGCCTGGTATCAGCCCACAAAGTGAGACAGGAACTGGCAGACAGAGGAGATGGAAGTGTAAACCAAACTCTTTCTAATTTTCTGATGCTTGTGATAAACCCTCAGCAGGTAGTGCAGTCTTTCATACCAGAGCCATAAGGTGCTGAAAATCCATTTCACACATTTCTTGGATATATATTACATATTTCTGCAGTTACTGTGGAGCAGAAATAAGAGCTATAGGTTTTAATTTAAAGTATATGAAGAGTTGCAATGAATAAATGAATCCAAATCCACTCTATGCTTAAATAGCATATAGTTTCTATTTCAGTAAGCCCTGCTGGACAAGGGCCTGTAGGATACTTGTTAATATACTTTATTGTTAGAGAATAAGAACCTGTAGGAAACAGCCCTTACACAAGTGCTTCCAAGGAGACATTCCCATTCACGACCTACCTTGGTCTGTAGTGACAGAGCACAGAAATTGCTTCTTCCATTTTGTTTCTGTGCCTTGCTGGAACCACAATTTCCCCGTTCCTTTGGAATTTGGTGGTGTGGGAGAGGCACATGCTGCTGCTCCATGTGCTGCAGTCAGTATTTCCATTTCTGCTGTCATCTGACCAGGTCCAGGTTTCTTCTGTTGTTTGCATAAAACAAGGTCAGTGGCTTCACAACAAGGTGTTGTCACATATAATCAGCCCTGCATTCTTCTGAATTTCAGAGAGATAATTGCCTTTCCAAGACTTCAATGGAACAGACAGATCCGTCTCTCAGTCCCTTTATGATTTCAGTGTAAACATGCACGTGTTGCAGAGCATAATTTACATTGAAAGTAAACGAGATCTGTGCTGTGACCTGGGATGAGAAGCCCAGTGGGAGAGCGTTTCTGGCCCAATGGTTTTGTGATAATGACTTTTACAGCACTTGTTGGTGACAGCTGGCATGGGAGCTTCTGTGACCTGCTTGTGGTGATACCCAGAGCCCTTCAGAGCACCCTCAGACCTGTTCTGTGTTAGTGGGATGGCTTGACACACAGAGTCTACAGAGCAAAACAATTGCCAAAACCTCTGCTACCCCCAAATATGCCTCTCTGCTGACAGGAGCTGTAATTCTTCTGGAACCCAGCTAAAAATCAGGGCTGAGAGCATCAAATCAGCCAATGGCTTTTACCACACTCTTTGAGAGAAAAGGGGAACACAGAGCTTACACATCTTTTTTTTGTTGGTCAAGCCTCAAGCACAGATGAGTTTCTTGAAGTGAATACTAACTTTTAACTGGTTAATGGAGCTAATGGATTAGCTTTCCATTCTCTGAGGCTTAGTTTCAATTTTGGAATACTCATCTTTTCCCTGCAGTTTTCTTTGCTGTGGGGTTTTCCTCCTAAATAAATAGCTAAATTCATCTTGACCCCAGCAGAAATTTAGTAGAGATAATAAGTAGACATAGCCATCCTCTCAAAAAGTTCAGTTAACTTCATTTAGTTTGTATATCCAAGAGGAAAGCCGCCATTTAATTTCTCAAAAAGACATAAAGTGATTTTTCTCTTGGATTCTTATCTGCTTAGTACCATTGCTGGCAGAGTATTTTCTAAATAGGTTTGAAATAATTGGGCTGAGAGAGATTTTTGAGCTGCATGTGCTTATGTCCGTAGCAACTTTAATATTAATAATAAATATCTGATCCTGAAATCTTTGCTCATACAAATAGTTCTTTCTTATGTAAGCAAACCTATGTATTGTAAGGATTTATCTGAGAAAATTTTACTCCTGTGAGTGAACTCTGCCAGCTGCAAGCCTTTGAAGTCTTCATTCTATAGCACAGCTGATGTGAGATATTTTAGAGTCTGGCCAAAGACCCAAGATGATGACAAATGACATTCAGAAAATAAAAGAGCTCTTTGAGTGTCCTGCAACTTTTGTTTTCCTCGGTCATAAGCTCTCTCAGAAAAGAAAATGTTGTGCCTCAGTCTCCATTAATGCCTCTAAGGCAGCTCTGAACTCTCCAGCAGGGCTGTAGGACTCTGCACCACAAGCAAGGACATCAGCAGTTGTCCTGCTCAAAGCTTCCCTGGCTGTTTCTTTTCCCTCCAGCCTGCCACGTTTTTCAGTTTTCCCCTGAAGGCATCTGTTCATACTCATTTTGAGGGGCTTATGCCTCTGTTACCTGACAACACAGCATGGTTTATAATCTTGAACCATCCCAGATCAGAATTTATATATCTACATCATTTTCTCCAACCTACTGTCAGGATATTGGAAGACAAAAGCATCTCAGGATTTAATGACAATGGATTACCAGGTTTTCCAGCTCTGTAGGCAGATTCAGTCTTCTAGTGTTTTTTCTTTAAGGAATTGTATCCATTTTAGGACTTCATCAAAGCTGGAATAAACTGTAAGGCTGCATGCATCAGCCAGGTCTCAGGTATCAACATCAGAAGATTCAAGAGCTCTTTGGTATGATTGGGTAAGGATGAGAAAATGGTAATTTGTTTGACATCATCTGACACAGGTGGATCTAAAGAGGACACTTGTACTAAAATAAATACTGGCTTGTGGTGAATTCACTTGTCTTCCAATATCCTGATACCAACATACCAGAGAATCACCTTGCATGAAGAGTCCTTATGGAGCTGAATGCCTGAAAGGAGATAGGATTTGGGGATGTGACCTCATGATGTCCTTGTAATGCAGGGAGTGAATTGCACAGGGAAGAAGGAAATCACATCAATCCAGCATCAGTCTCTGCATTTCATAGGTAGAAATCCAGTGCTTTCACCTCTGTGCCTGTTTTTCAGGGAGCTCATGCAGTACTGTAAGGATTCAGTGTTTGGTTTCAAATTGTAACAGAGAAGTTTGATTTGGTGTTTACAGGATGATGTACCTCATGTTTATTGATGTGCCTCGTGTTTATCTGCCTCTTCACTCAGACCCCAGAAGCTGCAGGGCTGTTCTAGACACCACTGTGCAGGTTTGCCCTCCAGAGGGGCAGGGAGTGAGTCATGCTTGCTTGTGATACTAATGATGTGTCTGGCATGGCCCCTGCTGGGGCTGGCAGCACCACCCAGGACATCTCATGCTTTCTTGGCATAAGCATAAAAAAAAAATACTTGTGCAAAAACAGAGTAGCCTAGGAAAAAATAAAAATGATCAAACTTGCTTGGTGAAGCAAGTATTCAATTTCTCCTTTGTCCTCTGGGACAGGATGCTTTCTGAGAGCTGCTGAACAGCTAAAATGGTTTTTAAGATTTAAGTAGAATCCAAATGAAATGATTGCTAGGAGATTTATTTGTTTAGTTGCATATAGTAACAGGACAGAATTTCAAAAAGTGACGCCCTGTATAAATGTGCATAAAATGATTCATATTTAGACCTTTCATGCTGGTCCTGACTCCTTATCACTGTAAGGGACTGCTGTCACCAGTGGAAAATCACCACCTCTTAAATCACTGGCATTGACTCTGGTGTTATTATTTACTACTTAGAAAATAAGTAATAAACTGTCTCCCTGTGAGATGAGCTGCTGTGCAAGCTGGCCAGCTCCTCCCCAGGGCCCACAGAGAACAGATTAGTATGAAGATGCAACTTAGCAGGTCATGGAAACATGAGGTCAACTTTATGCTTTGACTTAATACAGTTTTATTTCCTGACTGACAGGGGCTTGACAACCTGCTCTGATATCGCCCAGCACTGCTCCCTGTTTTATTTATGTGGAAATAAAGCAAAAAAAAAACCCATGCCTTGTGTCTAGTTCTAATGATGGAGAATGTCTCCAGCTGACCAAGGTGTCCTCATTAATGGCTGTTCTATATTTAGCCTTTGCAGAGCCCCGTGCCCCCAGTTTAATCAAAGACCTGGTAGCCATGGTAACAACACCGAGCATCTGGGTGTGTGCGATCTGCCAAACACCGAAATAAAGCACAGGATGGAAAACACACAACAGCTTTAAGTGGATTAATGCATTGTTCTTTTCTACTACAGATTTTGAAGTGTTTAGAAGAGCTTCTCAGCCACAAATGCTAGACTATTTTTGCAAAAAAACAATCCCTATTAACACAGGTGACAATTACTAATCTCTTTTTTTGTTGTTGTCTTTTTCTTAATTTTGTTTTGCAGGTGTATCAGCATTCATATACAGCATATTATGTCCTCAGCAAAATACCTCATGGGTAAGCAATTTTTCAATGACTTCATTTAAAAACTCAGCCATTAAGAATCCTGCAAAATAATGTGTATTGTGACAAATGGTTTCCTGTGACAGCCCTTTGCAATGGCCTGGCTTTCAGCTGCAGCATCCACTGTGCTGTGTGCTGTGCAAAAGATGACGAGGTCTGGAAACAGAAGCACTCGGCTTCCCCAGAGAGTCAGACTACATGAATTTCATATTCCAGATTTCAGGGTTTTTGTGTAGAATATAGATGTGGTGGTGTCTGGCTGAGAGCCATGGTTGGCCACTCACCAGAGCACGGGAGAGGAGAAGGCTCTGGGCACACCTTAATGCAGCCTCTCAGTGCCTGAAGTGAGCTGGAGAGGGACTTGCTACAAGGGCATGGAGTGTTAGGACAAGGCTTCAAACTGAAAAAGGGCAGGTTTAGACTGTGCATTGGGAATAAATTCTTTCCTCTGAGTGTTAAGCAGCCTGGCACAGGATGCCCAGGTCTTGGCTGCCCCATCCCTGGTTCAAAGTAAGGCTGGATGGGGCTTTGAGCAACCTGGTCTGGTGGAAGGAGTCCCTACCCAGGGCAGGGGGATTGGAAATGGATGACTTAAGGTCCCTTCCAACCCAAACCATTCAATCATTCTATGATTCTTTAGCTTTGATTAGTGGCCGGGGTTTTTTAATCCTTCTTTTTACTCTTTGTCTTCGTGGTGCCTGTGGTTCCAACTCCATCACCCAACCACTCATCACCTGCCTTGCTTTTTTTAGAATTTAGGGTTAGAGTTTCTCTTAGGGTCTACCTTCTTTTCCCTTAAAAGATGAGTTCTTTTCCTATATGCAATCCAGGCAGGGGCCCAGCTGGTCAGGAAGGGGATACCACCATACCAGAGTCACATGTAGGCATATGCTGGACCAGAGCATTTCAGGGTGACATTTCCATAGCACCAATGGAAATATATAACTTACACAGCAAAATTCCTCAGTTCATTGTTACTAAATATGAAGCTAAAAGCCAGGAATCTGCTGCCAGGTTGTGTGTTTTAAGTAACTGTGCAGAAATGATAAAAAGGATCAATGTAGCTGTGCTCTGCCCTTTCTGTACTGCACTTCACACGACTCTCTTAAATACTTGCCAAGAGTCTTCAAGGTGCCATTACTATACATTATGGCCAAATAGACAGTAGGTGTTTTGGATCTTTGAAATAGCTGGCAAAACAGGCAAGATTTTAAAAACTCTTTCTGTTTTGTATGCAAGGTGATTACAGGATCACCAGGCAACTCAGGCTGAAAACATTCTTCCAGGGTCCATCCTCCTGCTCAAACCAGGTTACTGAGAGGTTTATCCAGCTGAATTTTAAAAACTTGCAGGGGTGGGGACTTTAAAATCCTTTTTTTTTTTTTTTTTTTNCTGAATTTTAAAAACTTGCAGGGGTGGGGACTTTTAAATTTTTTTTTTTTTTTTTTTTTTGGTACGGTAACCAGTGGGTTTAACAATGGAGAAGTACAGATATTAAGACATCTCTCGTTTTTTCTGCATAAAAATCCTCAAGGATTTTTCTCAGCAATACTATTCCACACACATCCACACACAAAACAAAAAATTAACAGGAGAAAACAAACAAACCACAAACCCACAAAAAAACTGCAACTCCCAAACCCCCTCAAACAATAACAACAATAAAGCTAAAATAACTTCTTTGTCTTATACTTAATGACAGACAAACAGTACTTTGCACAAAAAAAGTGGGTACTAGAGACATACATGATTTAAAATCTTTGAACTTTGGGGCTTGTGCAGCCTGCTTCCCTCCAGCTTGCATCTTGTGATCCACTCACCACAAAAAGTCATGAGCTTGATGTTAAATTGTTTATATGTATGGTTAGAACATGGAAATTAGGAGATTTCTCACCATCAGCCCTGTCAAACCTGTAGTGTCCATGTGACACACTCCGGAGTTCTTCAGTCTCTTCTCTTCCCTGCCACAATCTGCTCTTTGCTTTTTTCTTCCCTTTTCTGGGGGCAGGGTAGTTTTGTGTGTATGTGTGTGATTGATTGTTTGTTTGTTTGTTTGTTTTTGTTCTGGTTGGTTTTGTTTGGCAATGTTTTGGTTTGTGTTTGTTGGTTGGTAGGTCGGTTGGTTGGGCTGGGTTTTTTCCAGGACTTTACTCAATATGCTTAGTTTTTGAAAACTCCATCTTTCTGGCAATGTAGCTGAGTAGTAGCTTGTGGGCTGAAAGTGTTCAGCAACAGGATGAAGACACAGCATGAGCACATAAGCTTTGTGTCTGCAGCAAACCTGGCTAAGAGCAAAAAAGGCTTGACTGACAGCACAGTTCTATTCCAGACAAAACAAAGGTGGAAAAAATAGAAGTATCATGTGTAACATGTATTAGAAATGCTAAAAAATAACAAAACAGTAGTCCAAGTAGTTTTCTACTACTGCATGATCTTTCTTTGTCCCTCACAACCAGCCCCTTGTTCCCCCAGCTTTAACTCTATAGTGCACCCAGCTGTGGTTCCCCTTGCTCTGTGTGTGGTTGGGCAGTGGTGCAGGAAACTGAAGGGTTGGATGTGCCAGACGTGAAGTTTCCAACATGAAGGGGAAATCTGGAAAGTGAAAGCACACCAGAGGGCACACAGGTGTGTCAGGCATTGGTGTCCCCACAGCATGATGTGATGCTGGATCAGACCACAAGCTGAAGAAGGGCTGGAAGGAGGATCACTGAATTTCATGTTGGCAAAGGTGTGGTTTGCAGAGTTTAGGCTTTTAGACACATGCACAGGCATTGTAAACTATATTATGCAGTGACAATTTCATTGACCTCCCAGGTGATCATGGTGCATGTGAGTGGTAGAAAGGGGAGCACACTGCCATTTCCATGGAACATGGGCATTTATCCTTCCTGTGGAGCTCTGTGTATATTTTAGGGTGGTGCATTAACAGAGAGAACAGGTCTAGGAGGGGGACAGTGAACCTAATGTAACAGGTAGTGAAATACATCAGCTGAAAGTAGAGCCTTTGTTGGATGAAGGGATAGAAACCTCTTCCTCACCTATTTAGTATTTAACACAGGAATATTGCTCTGATGGATATCTGTGGAGCACAAGGTTCATCTCAGTTTGACATTCCAGGTTCTTAGGTGATGACTGAATTTGCCATCCACAAGCAGCCATTCTTGTCCTCCACCTGTCAACAACAGGAGTGACAAAATTCTGCACTGAGCAATGACCCCTTTGCCATTTTTACAAACTGTTTTCAGTTTTTCCTCTTCTGCAAGCAGGCACAGCTTTACACCCTGTTGGTGTGTGCCCCTGGCCCTCGGCATCTCTCCAGCTCAGTGACCAAGGCAGTGACAGCTGGGAACAAACTCACTCGCCTCCAGTGTCCCCCTGCTCAGCAGACTATCCCTCCTGGAAGCAGGCTGTGTCACTTTCCCTGTGCTCCCTCCCTCTATCCTGTTCCCCATCCTCAGCCATGATCTGCCTCATCAGGAAGGCCAGGCAATTTGGGATTTGCACCCGCTCATGCCCTTGCTACTCCCCTGCTGAGCCTAACTAATAAGGAAGCCAATTAACCTAATCTCTGGCATCACTTTTTAAATAACATGCCATTAATCTGCCAGCATAAATTGTTTTTTAAAGGGAATTTTCTAATTATTTTTGCCACGTTCTGCAGGCTCTCCAGATTCAGGCTGTGCCTGATGTCAAAAGGAGCTCATACCAATGTTTTCCAGATTTCATTTTGAGCTCTCAATAAGTTTGACAAACCAATTTGGGAATGGTCTCAGTACGTATGTTCCCAAATGGTATTTTATACAGGAGTGCAACATTTTTTCCACAAGAGCTGTTGACAAAGTAAACTCTTTACACTGGGTGTGTATAGGACAACTAATAGACGCCACTGACATAGACTCAAAGGATCTGATTTAAAAATTAAAATAAGCCCAAGGCAGAAGAAAGAGATCACACCGATTTAGTACCTCCCTTCTGTTATTTCAGCTTTCTCACAGCCTCTTGTTAAATTCGGGGTCATTTGCCTTCTGCTTTTATGGTTTGCACGGGAGGAGATCCACAGGGCTGAGATGCGCAGTTTTCCTGGGAAGAGATGTGCAGGGCGTTCTGTTCCATCCCGCTTTCCTTCAAATCCCCGGCTCTGCTCCTGCTGCTCGCCCAAAATCGCGATGCTGGAGCCGGGTGCCATCTAGTGGAACCAGCCCCGTGTTCCCTGGGATGAGCATCTCCATCCTGTCCCACCTGCTCCCCTCCCAGCGCTGCTGCTTTTCAGATGTGTCTGCTGGGAACTGCTTGCGGCTGTCTCCGTTATAAATGTTTCTCCTCATGACCCCACTGTTGCACTTGCAGCACTGCAGTTGCCAACCACTTGTAATTTATAGGTACTGAGAGAACATCTGCAGGCCCAGATGTGGAACAGGGAGCTCTCCTGCAAGGTGCTGGGGGAATGTGGAACTCCAGTACCATATACAGTTACTTCCAAAGAGTATTTTTTCTAATTCTGGAAAATAAAAATTTAGGTGTGCAGGCAACAGCCTACTTAGGAAAACTCGGCACTGATAATTGCTTTATTCTTTTGTGGGTCCAATATGAATTATCTTAGTCATTCACATCCTTCACTGAAATAAGAGAAAAAACTTCAGAGTTTTTATAGTCAGAGTGTTCCCCTAACCCAGCTGGAGGATTTCCCTCACCAGTGTTGTTTCCACACCAGTGCATGCTGCTGGACCACTCGTGTTATGTGGCACTGCAGGTCCTAAGAGCAAGAGCTAATTTTGGATAGGATATCCAAGGGGTTAATTCTGTATTTAATCTTTTGCTGTGGCCAGCAGAAATGTTACACTTTTTTACAGTTGTGTTTACATTCCCCCAAATAAAGCATAAAACATGTTTTTTCAGACCTCCCAGTGCCCACCTAAATCTGCATGAACCATTTCCCTCTGGACACAGCCAAGTGTCAGGGATTAGTGCTCACCCCCCTTGTAAGAGCTCTTAGC